TGAGGTAAAGATTTTCAATTAGGAAGACTGGCACTGACGCTGCATTTAAAGATTCGTGCATGCAAATATGTTTTATGCACAACTATGCGGAGAATTGAAGTGGGAACGCATTCATTCCATTAATTGCAGGCATCTATTGACCGTTGTTGGGTGTTAGTACTTTTACTGAAACTTCATTTAAAACTATTCTGTTTTATGATCTAATGAAGTGATATTTTCACCACTGGCTGCATGTATTCATATACTTCGCATATTCATCGCCCATCAGCAATCCAATAGTGTGTGTTTTCATTCAAAAACCATCGCATTCATGGTATGAAGTGTTCAACTTCATTTCAGTAATGTTTTGCACACTTTGCTTATACGAATAAAGTAAATGTTCTGTTGAAATAAAATAGCTCTGAAATGTACTTTCTGCTGTTCAAATTGAATTCAAGCTAAAACTTTTAAATAATAAATTGAAATTATTGAAATATTTTGGATTCTAAATTAGTCTTTTATTTGACATTTTCATTATTTTTCATTATTTGAATTTTTAAAAGTAAAGCATAAATGAATGCAAACTCTTAAAAATATTATAAAATTAATATAAGACGAATGTAATGAATTTCAAAAAATTATTTACGAATTATTTAATATAAGAAATAATTGACTATGGATATTTGGTAATACTCGAAACAAATAAAAAGAATTTTTGTGGCTGTAGTTCACTACTTTTCGAACCCTCTCTACAAAACTTATGGCCATTTTGTTAATGACTGATATGCCCAATTCAAATAAAAAAATTGAATGACGGTGCTCCGGTTACTACTTTTATTATCTTCGTGCCTTAGATTCACAACGAGATTGCTGTCGTTCTTGGTGCAGATTTACCAAGTCAATTATCTGTTATTAATAAGAGTTTGAAATTAGGTACAATGCTTAGAGATTTTTTGGATAATTATTCAATTAGAGCAAGTAGAAAATTAAATTCCAATTATAAATGTACAACGAAAAGCGTTTATGCGGTATAAATTTATTAATAAGTTTCAAAAAATAATTAAATGCATTACTCTGAAGGATATTGTTTAAATCCTTGTAAAGTCTGTCTACAATTTACCCTATAAATTATTTATAAATTCTTATAAATTTGAATACAAATAATTTACGAGGTCAAGGGCTAATGTTTAAAGTTTAAAATAATCCAAACAGGACATTCCTGCAAATAACAGAAATACTGAAACTCCTGTTAATTTCTACCTCTCAAAGATTATACATACACAATCACATGATTTTCTCTCTTTGTATCTTGAAAAAGTCAGTGCACGGATCAAGTATTTTCAGCTGGTTTTTATTGAATTTAATGAGGTTTATAGAGGGTGTAGCATGAATCGCCTCTGAATGGTGTTATAGGTGATATAAGTTGCGCTTTTCCGGTGTTAAAGACACTGTCTTTGAACTCATATTCATTCAATTAATCATTTCGTTGCTTTAGTGTAAAAACTGCATTGCTATACCTAGTTGTCCTCTGACACAGTACCATAGCGGTGATATTCTACATAGTTTTCTCCTCTGCACTTTGGGGACTCTTTTTCTACCATCTTGACAGAGCTGTTGGCTATCAAAATCAGAGACAAAGTTTAATGGAAGAATCAGTGTATTAAGATTGAAAGAACAAAAATTATGTTAATATCTATTTAATCTCTGTTATATTTTAATATAAAATGGCTTTCATTTACGTTATTATTTGTAGTATAAAATAGTATCAAAAACCGTGATTTCAACGGATTCAACTTGTTATTTTGTTAATTATAAAAGAAATCAAACGCAATATAATATATGCACTGAGTAAAAATAAATCGTACTCACAGAATAATTCATGTCGATTCCTTATGTTGCTCTAACTAATTTTTCCATCGTTTTGTAAATTTTTATATTTTTTGTCATATTTTGCTGATTATCCATTTGTGGTAGCATTTTTAAAAACACTCCCTTCCTCCTCTTTCGGAGAGTGTAATTCAAATGCAGCAGAAGGAACCAGAACACAAACAAATACAAGTAAGCATAGCACTCCGGATATATGTCGGGTATGTATAAAAGTTCCTACGAGTATTCTAAAGCATTTTTGTTGTTTTGTGGTGCACATGTGGTTGTCTTTCGAACGTTGATCTGTGTGCGTGTTGTTTTATTTGTGTAATGCAAACTATTTTTAAACGTTGACTATCGTCTGCTCTTCGATTTTCCCCAACTTTTTCCTCCGCTGCAGCTTGGCAGTATTTTTCCGAACTGTTTTTGGTTGCGGAAAGTGCATTTTTCTGTTCTTCCAAGTACTTGCGACCCACCGACCCACCGACACATGGCGAAGTGGAAAAACAGTGCAACGCTTGTGTCAATCAAACGTTACATTCAACTTGCATTAAAAATCGATGAAGTCAAACGAACATTTTTCGCTTGCACTTTTGCTTAACAAGCATTTGAGTTTCCGACAACGTGAAACAAGTCAATATTTGAAAAAATTAAATGAAAATTGTTGGACTCTGTTGCTTTGTAATCTTTTTGTTTGTATTCTTCCTTGTATTTCAGACCAAACTTTTTATTAATGAGACATATTGAAGTATATGAAATTTCCCATGCCAAATATGAACCCTAAAAAGAAAATATTGATAGATATTTAAAATATATATGGATGTATAGATTAGATTATACTAATACTGTGATTCTAATATCTATTCACACCTCAGTACCCATAATGTTTTCATATAATATCTAGAAGATTGGGAAATATTCTAAATAAAACATAGGATAGTCTTCAATCCTCTAGAAAATAAATCCCTAGCGAATAAAACCTGTGTTGCGCTTTCGCTAGAGAGTGAATAACTTTCCTAGTGTTTCTCATAGCTGCGGCATGTATCGTTGAAGGGAATATTTAATATCTTGACATGGTTTTCTAAACGACAATGACCCGTGCGTCATTTTACTAAGATACTGGCACCTGTACTGACCATATCAGCGAAAGCCATATCAGTGATGCACAAAATATGGGTGTTACAGCAGCACTGTTAGATCTTAACCAATAAGTACCTGAGTTACAATATATGATATATATACACACGTTTTGCAAATTCTTTATATTTGCTCTTCGCATGCAACTGCTTTGCCGTTCTCATGGATTTTTGCGCGATATTGTTTAATTCTATGTGCGACTATGTGCGCTTGAAAAGCATCATTAGCGTTGATTCTCTTTTAATTAAAATTGTAATTAAATTCAATATCCTTGTTACTTTTTACCGTAGATTTCGTTTTAGCTACTTTTGCACAATATTGACTTTTGCACATGCCTCGACGTCAAACAGTAGCAGCCACCCAACCCCGCAATGAGAAATACAACAATTTGAAGAGCTCACACTAATTCGCATTGGTTTTAATTAAATGCGTTTCCATTATGTCCCTATGTGGTTTGGTTTGATCCTTTATAAATTTAATTGAAATTGATACATAAATTACGAAAACGTGCATACATGCCATCGTTCAATGAAAACATACGCGCCTTGACTGACTGCACTGCATTGCTGATAATTTTTGATTTAAGTTTTCATTTAGCGAAATTTTAATTGTTGCAAAATAATTTTGCGTTAAGCTTTAACGAATTTCCTAGCACAATTTAACTAATTTAAATTTCAATTTTAACTTTTGCCACCCACTGTTGCAAGTGCCGAAGTCAAAGTGCTGCAGGGTTGGCATTTTCATGCTGCCAACTTGACCCCGCACCTGCGTCGAGTGCTGAACAATGGTGTCTACAAAAACGAAAAAGTGAACCTGAATCCTTGAAGGAATAAAATGAAAAATGAAACAATTCCGAAAGTGTCTCGTTAATGCGACAGCAGTAAAAACTTTTAAGCACCTTCAGAAAGCCATACAAATGCTAGCTACTAGACTTTCATCACCTACGTGAGCACATCCATACTGGCCATACTGGAGAAGATAGAGGAGGATGCGGAGAAAGCAGAAAAAGAAGCACAGATAACGGTTATAGCACTTTTAATTCATTTTTTATTGCTGACATGAACATTGCACTCATTCGATGCACTTATTTATTTTGAAAAGTGCACTGCGATTTGGCTGGCGTTGTTGCTTCTGTTCATTTATGCTGTATATAAAAAACAATGTGTAAATTCCTCAGTCTGGTAAGTGGTGTTCATTAAAATAATATTTAGCATAAGAGAGAGAGAGAGAGTTAATAACAGCAATTAATCATAGCTTATATTTATACAACATAAACGTTCCAATTTTCATGAATGCCATTTATTACCCCTTTTGAGAGAAAATGTGAAATGAGAACTTTACTATTATGTGATCTAAATATATTTATATTTATGCTACCATATGTTCCATATGCAATTTGATAAGTATTTTTAAATTACTTACTAACGGAATTAAGTTATACATTGGACATGAACTGTGCATCCGCAATGCTCTATTAAATTAAACTCATATCTAGAAGGAAGTATACACTCTTACTTCCCACATGTCATTAGTCAGTGTACGACAATTACCATCACCAAAAAATACGAAAAATAGGTTATATAATTTCGCAGCACTACTTTAGTTATATAGGTTAAAAAAAACTATCATAGCATGTGGATCGCGTAACAATCTCTGAACGTGTTTAAACGGTGCAAACTTACTACAAAAATAATGAGACTTATTTGCGTCAAAATGGTAGAATCACGAATCACGAGTAGTGAAAATTTGAAATAACTGTCTTTCAAGCACAATGATATACATGTAGATGTACGGTTTCATAAGGAAGAAATTATTCAAAAATTTGGAATATTATTAGAATTTTTTCAGTCATTTTATAAAGACTTTAACTACGTTTAACACTTTTTACTTGTTAAAAGTAAAAGAGATTTATATATTATATATATTATATTATATATAGATATATTATATAGATATAGATTATATATATTATAGTTTGAAATTATTTAACATTTTATTTACTTTAATTTACACTTTAATACATTCAACATTATAATTTTAATAAAACTATTTAAAGACGTTAAGCTAGCTTCTTATCTTAATAGACTCCAGGCATGCCAGCGCAATCAAGTCAATAATAATAAACCTAATAAACTGCATTTGCAGAAGAACGCATCAAATTGTGGCAATGCGCTTAAGTGAAATTCCAGTATTGCAATATCCTGGTAGATTTAAAATGCACGCTTTTATTGGACGACTTTTTCTGCTTTCTCTTTCTTTGTTCTAGCCTTGCCAAACTCTTTTGCTTGTTGCTGTTGCTTTTGTTTTTGTGATTGTTTACTGGCTTGATTATCGGTGGCAATCTCCTTTTGCAAAATGCGTTGGAAAAGTATTGCATCAGTTTTACTTAGCGAACGTGCCTCCAGGCGTCCAGCATCATTTGCCGTTTTATTCGTCGTTGTTGCGAAACTCTCATTTAAATTGCGCCACTGGCGCTGTTGCTGAGGCACACTTAATTTATCCAACAACTTGCAGCTTAAAACGGGCACAATCGGCTGCAGAACAATGCCGCATAAACGTAAGGTATCCATTGTCATTGCAATTATTGTCTGCAGTCTGTTGGCATTTTCGATGTGCCCGGAATTGTTGTCGTTAGTGTTTATGGTGCTGTTATCCTTATTGCTTTTGTTGCTGCTACTTTTCAATTCCCAAGGACGTGCGCTCTCAAAGAAATTATTAGCCGCGTGCAACGTTGACATCACTATATCCACCACCAAATAGAAGTTGTTCTCGTTGTAGTGCTGCGTACAGCGCTCTATAAAGACCAATCCAACGCCAATGACAATATCGGGTAGCAATGGAAAAAAATACCAAATCAAAAGAATTTTATTATTTATAAAAGAATATAGCAAAGTCATATTATATAAGATTTTATTGTGAATTTATGAAAACTAAAGTGGTTGTAGGTTGCCGTTATTAACCCAGTTAGGATTATGGTTTCAACATAAAAAGTGAACATAATTAAATTTTTCCATTATTACATTTACATTAAACTGAATTTCATATTATTCAATTAGTAACAATGACATATTCTGTACATATATATGATCTTTTCCCAGCATTATCTATAAGATAATACATACATTATCTAGCATTATCTATAAGAAGTTATATATTGTTTTATTTTATTTTTTTCGTCATTGATTTGATTTATTAGCCTTGTTTTTCAGAGAGTGAAACCTTTATTTTATAAAAAATCAAGAAGAATCAAATTCAAAATTGATTAAAACCATAGTAAATAAACTCATCAAAAAATGAAATTGTTTGACATTTATCATTGCCTGCAATCAGCTTTCAAGTGCATTTGCTTCAGAATTTAATTTGAGATTCTACAACGGCACGCGGAACTTTGCCACAACAATGTTATAAATTACAACAATAAAATAAATATGGAAACAACAACAATAGTCAACTGCTCAGTAAAAGGATGAAAAGGATAACGTTACTTACCTTCCAACTGCCGCAGTTCATCCTGTAAACGTAGCGCTGCATCCATTCGCAAAATGTCGTCTAAATGCGACGAATGGAGTGGGGGATAAATTTGTTGCGGATTTAATGACTTTGCACAGACACGCGATAAAAGATTTCCTAGAGTATCTGCCAGCTCGGAGTTGAGTATACGCAACGCTTTAACACTGCTGTAGTCTAAAAAATTAAGAGGAAGGAGAAGTGGTAAGAAGAAGCAAAGTTACTATTACTTAAGAATAAAAATTTTAAGTGTTTTACAGGAGAATAGGAGAATGCAACTAATGACGAGTAGAGGATGAGGTGAGGTAAGGTATGTTAAACGAATAGTGGCATTAGCTCAACTAAGATGCAAGAATCACTGTTCAGTTAAGGTAATTTTATTGTAAAAAAAAAAATAGAAAGATAGTAAAGAAATTTATTGTGAAAGTAAAGAATAAATGTTATACATTTTAATTTGCAGAAATTTGAAAGTTTGAAGTTTCCGATTTATAAGCTGATTACACATTTTACACCAGAAAACCAAAATAGACACATTTTTAAATCTTTAAGCAAGAAATGGAAATAAATTTGACCTTATAAACTTAATGAGTTTGGCTAATGTGTACTCCAAATTGTGGCCACATAGAATTATTTGACACACACACTGCACATTGCATATTAGACATTACACAAATGCATTTATGCACGCTAATATGCACGCACCCACGGACACACAATGCATTAAAATTAATTCCCACAAAATGTTGGTCAACATTTGTAATTGATTAAAAACATTTAAATGAAAAATAGTTTATAAAATAGCCACATTATTGTGTTCTGAATGCCAACGACAACAATGCAATCCACAATTACTGTTTTTGCTGCTGCCGTTCTTGTGCTTGTTGTTGTTGTTATTATTGTTGCTGCTGCTGTTGTAGTTTTTATTATAGTTAAACAAACTAATTTTTGGCATGTTTCTGGCATCCTTCCGTGCTCGCTGCTCGTTTGAAAGGATGCAACTCGCGGCTAACAATGCAACCCAAGAACGACAAACGTTTAAACGATTTTGTCCTCGTAATTGCAATTGCGACGGCCATTTTGATTGCGTTCATGTTGTTGTTGTTCTTGCCGTTGTTGCTGCTATTGTTGTTATTGTTGTAGGGAAGGAATGGAATCCTTTCCATATTTTCCTTTTATGTACTGGCATTTAGGGACCAAAATTACTGGAAAATACTTTTCAGAGAACAACGATAAGCGATGTGCACAAGCAACTGAATTACTAAAAACAATTTTCCGTTTGATTTTATTTTAATTAAAAATTTAATGTATCAAAATACAAAATTGTTGCTAAAACCGCTTAAGCAAAACTGTTTAATTAAATAGAAATTATTTTTCTATTTCAGCTATACAAACTTACTTTTAAGTTTTACTTAAATGAGAACCAATTTTTAAAGGTTAACGTCATTACCATTAGAAATTTATTTTAATATGATAAGATATCAACCATTAAGATGTGATCATTAAGATCATTGACATTTATCATTCTGATTATCCTAATACCGATTATGATTTGTCATTATCGTCTCTGGAAAAAACTTCAAACCCATAATTTGTCTAGAGCTTCATTGAGACCTACTGATAAACCCAAGGACATCCCTTGATTTGAAACTTCAGATTTGTTTTGATTTAAAGATATATAAAAAACAAAAAAAGATACTAGATACGCTTCTTGAAAATTATAGCACACGAACAGATAAAATGAACAGATATTTTATTCTACATTTTAAAGAAGCTGTATCAGCGTCTTTTAAGGCAATACCAAGTAAATGGAGCATGTTAGTATCTAGTTAAAAAATAAATAATTAATCGAAATTTAAATTTATTTGTGTTGACAAACTTTTGAGTATTTCTATTAACCACAAAAATGTATTTAGATTATTCCAAGATTTCGTATCGGCCGCAAAAAATTAATATACGAGTACTAATCAGAGTCCTAATGCAGTCTGATAAGTGGATATTTCTCGGAAATGTGTAGGTTCTATAAAGATTTATATAAGAGATTTCATATATGAGATTTTTATAATTTCGAATCAACATGAATTCACTGTTCCAAGGCTGGAGAGATCTTATCAGCTATAAGATCTCTGACTATCTAATCATTTTAGAATAATGCCGGCGATTTTGTATATGTTTTCATCAAATTACAAATAAAATTGTTTATTAGCAGAATAAGCAATAGTATTATAGAATAATATTGCTAAATTGGTTTCATGTTCAAATGATATAACATGATATAATAATATATTACTTATTCCAGATTATTTATCCACATATTTTACAAGGATAAGGAATGACTTGTGACAACAATGACTACTTATGAACAGAAAGTTTCAACATAGAATCGTGATTAGGAATCTCTTCTGGAAATCTTTAAAAAAAAAATTTTTTTTATAATTTTACTAGAAACAAATTATGTAAAAAAAAATTTTTAAATAATAATCTAAAAAACCTTTGTTAAATAAAATTCTTGTCTACAAGAAAAAATAAATAAAACTATAAGAAAGAACTTATTTTTTTAAATGTTGATTTCAATTAAAAATTTTTCATAGAAATAAACATAATGATTTAATCTACCAAATAATATTAATCTACAAAAAAATATATTTTTTTGCAGATAATTACAAAAATTTTGAATAAATTTGCAATATTCATTTTTGGAACTGCCTTACTTTTGCCAAATATAAATTCGAGCTGAAAAATATTTGCTTCTAAAATTGTATAGAACATTTTTATAGCAAAAAATAAATAAATGGAGAAATAAAAATAATGGCGCTACCTTTTACGGTTAGTAAAAATTATGCAAATTTAATTCATGTACAAAAATTAACTAAAATAGAAGGAAATGTAAATTATGGAAAAAAATTTTAAAGAACATCGACCAGCAGCGTCGACATAATATGCACACTAAGTCGTATTCATTTTATATGCCATGGATGATAATGGATTACAATCTTCCTTCAAAACAAAAGTCTTATGTATAAACTATTTAATAATTTTTTCTTTTAATCTTCTTAGATAGCAGGAAACTCAGTAAGCTTTGTTCAAACTTCTTTGCAGAAGCCTCTGTTTCTCATACACACCTTCTTCAAATTCATCATCGAGTGTAGTTAGAGGAGTTAGGCCCTATGCGCGTTATCTACTGTGTAGCTCCCTAATTTTTAGTAGCTTGAAAATAAGCTCATAAAAAAGACACAAACAAAACAACCAACAAAGAAATGCGTAAACAAAATCAGTTGCAGGTGCTTAATGAGCACAAAACAAGCATAAAATATACACAACAAAGACACAAACAACAAAAAACACAAATAAGTAGAAAACACAAATACGCCAAATAAAACAACGAAAACAACAATAACAATAATAACAGCGTGTAGAACATCTTGTGCACACGGCAAGAAAAATGTCGGAGAACATGCGTTTGTGATTGTGCAATAACACATGCAACGCAACCGAAAATAATAGGAAAAGGAACGAGAATAAGCAGATTGCAGCCATGTCAGAGACAAGCACTAAAGCCATTGCTTCTGAGCAACAGTAGCAATTACTACTGTTAAATTACTTGAGTCACAGTAGCAGTTAAATGAAAAAACAATGAGAACAATAGGAACAAAGTTGAAATGAAACAACAAAGTTTTATTTGAAATAAAAGTGCACGAAACTTCAAGCAAAAAACTGAACTAAGACCAACCTTCTCTTAGAGTTGAAAACATCGTCACTTAAGGATGCAAACTTGTTGTTCATTTAAAGTTCGCTAAAAGAGATACGCACATAGAAAACTTCACGTTCACACATATATGACTAACTTTTAGACTAAACCGAATACAGAAAATATCTTAAAGAAATTAGTTTTATATTTTAAAAGTAGTCGAAGTTTTTGAAATTAAGTTTCTAAAAGAAATGGAATTAATAGAAAGGTGATCCCTAAATAATGTTATTTTAAGGACAAATTATGTTTTATTCACTAATTAACCTAATTGAAAACATGACCTTTGTAACTACAATACAACTGTTCATTTTATTTTTATTTTTAGCAACTATATATGAACTTTATAATTGCCAGTTCAACTATATGAAATAGTCCATTAACAACATTAAAAATGTGCTGAAAAATGACTTATGAGACAGAAAATATATAAACAATTTTACACTGAATACTTTTGATACGTTGAATATTAACTGGCCTTATAAACTGAGAGACTCCACCTACAAAAACCATATAGTCAGTTTATATCTGCTCTAGCACAATATTAGTCTTTTTAAGCAATTATAGATATAATACTTTTAAAGTTTTGTTTGAGAGGAAGTAAGTTTATTGCTGTTACCGATCTTTAAAACTATACTATATCAATGTAATAATAGCACAGCTAATAGTCCAATTACAATATATTTCAAATTAACGTTTAAATAATTAAATAGAATATTGCGAATTACTAAATAATATTAATAATTCTGTGTGTTGATCGCCACTCTAAGATGTCGTTTGTTGTGGCAATCCTACATAATTTATTAACAATTAAATTATTCTTATTTAGAATCGTATTACAATTAACGAAAGGTTGACTTAGTAGACACTCTACTTGCAGTTATTACTAATTAAGTTGGCAGTTATACATTGCCATTTGCTTAGTTATAAACGGTTCAGGACGGTATAAAACAGTAAAAAAAAGAATAAAAAGTAAAGTTTTTGAGATATTTTGATAATAAAGTTTAATAAAGTTTTTTAAATTTACCATTTATAAACTATGAAGGCAATCATTGAATGTAATTCTGTAATTCGCGTACAAGACAAAAGCACAGAAAGAACCAAAAGCGGAAAAGATCCAATGTGAACGATAATGTTTTATAGATTAAAAAATATAACATTAAGCCAAATTTTAAACGAAATCAAATTCCAGACAAAATCGTACATATAGCTATTTTAGTAATCGTAAAATCTTATATTTAAGTAACAGTGATAGATGTATTTTTCAAAGCGCTAGTAACATTTTATTTCAGAAATAAAAGTCTTTCGGATTACTATTGTAAACTATTTTTTCTCGCAAAACAACATAAAATTATTCAATATGCGTTTTCGGTGGCTCGCAACTGTGGCATGCTGGCCGATAGTTGCTTAAGTTTTTAAAACTTAAACTATCAGAAACTATAACCCGTTACTT